GAGTTGTCAAATACTGCCCTATTGCCACTCTCATAGGAAAACTTCATATTTTGGGTGCCAGCATTTGTCCAGGCTGAACTATGGCTCTATTAGTGCAGATTTGTTTTTTAAGCATATGTTCTGGGCATCTAAAACTAAAATTTTATGTCTGACTGTGTTTATTCTAAGTATAGCTCTGCAGACAAAACAGAGCAGCTTTCTTTACCACAAAGTCCAGATAGAAGAAAGGGTAACCAGCAACTGAGAGTTCCTTTTTAAAATGACTGTACCAGATGTTCAATTTTTACAATACTGACAGGAGGAGGCTTAGTGTCAGCCTTTTCCATATCCCTCACATAATGTTTGCAGCTCCACATAATATGCGGGATACACTGGTTAGCAGTTTGATGAAAACTTGAACCACAATTTACATTTTTGTGCCCTAGTCCTGTGCATGTTTGTGGTCAGTTCTGCAGAATCAGACACAATTTGTTTCTAAGCAGCAGGGTACAGAATCCTGTTGGGTCCCATCTACACTAACCATTTAATGCAGTTTCAAACCAGTACTAGAGAAAGTGGTTTTGCTGTACAGAGGATTACATAGGAAATTCCAGAACCAGTTTGAGTCCCAGATGGTGATTACACGAACCATAGCATACTGAAATACATTAAAGGCTTTCTTTCACACACTTTTGTGGGAGTTCATTGTCTGGCCAGTGTAGGTAGTGTCTTAGTCACTTATACCCAGGGATTGCTGCGGTGTTAAGTACTTTCTCTAATGAAGTACAAGGACCATCTAGAAACCTTGCACATTTCTTTGCTGATTGTCAGTTAACATCCAAATGGCATAGTTCTGCTCTGTCAACCTTATTGGCCAGATTACTGGGGAAGAGGAGTAGCCTTCACCCCTTACAGCTCCAGCATTAGGTAACCTAGCACTCCTTTACAAATTGCCAGTGTTAAACTGTATTTCAACCTTACTCTGAAATTCCTAAGAGAATGTGCTAGGGAACCTCCAATACAGCAGGCCAGAGATGTAAAGTTTTCCAGACTTATCAGAGATTTGTCCCTGAAAAAGGAAGATACAATAACACGAATCTTATCAGTGTAATTGTAGGAAGGTGCTTAGCTGGTGCTTATTTTTCTTTTTGATAGTGAGTCTGTGCAAGCTCATTGGAAGGCTTATGCTGCAGTTAGGTGGCAATGAAGAAATTATACTCGTCTGCCAACATTGTGGGGCTGTTTTAATTGGTCAGTTTTAAAAAAATATAAAGACCACTCAAAAGCCCAGTGTGAAAAATTAGCAAGGCACTTTGCAGACAAATCACTTGGATCTGGTGACTTGGATGCTGTGCTTGACATAATTCCAGTACATGTAATCTTGGCATCTGCTTGTCGTGTTATTGGATACCTTCTAGTTTGTACAGTCTGAGGACAGGATCCTTGGAGAGGTGAAAGCTAACTACCATATGTATACTGGATTCTTGCCTCACTTGGCTTTTGAAAGCAGCTAGGAAAGGATTGGCCAAGTGTGTAATGGGAGCAGTGAATACCTCACTGCATCAAGGGAAGAGACTATCATTTCTAAGAGAGGCCATGGTGACATTGTTACCTAAAAATGTCTCCCTGGAGTCAATCATTCTGAATAAAGAATGACTGGTCTCAAATAATCAGTTTTCTGGACAAAGTTCTGGAGTGTTTGATGTCCTCTCATCTGCAGGACTTCTGGATGAGATGGAAGATCAAGATCCATTGGTTCAGATGACAATAGCTTCTGTTACTTCGATGGATCACTTACAAAGGGAACTGGAGAAGAGGAGTGTCTCCATGTTGGTTCTGCTAGATATCTCAGCAGCTTTTCATAGCGTCAACCATGGTATCTTTTTGTCCTACTTCTCTAGGAATCTGCTGGCAGTAGTCAATCAGATTTTTGGTCTCTATGTCATCAATATCCTCATGAATTATATGTCACAAATATTAGAAAAATGAAAAGGGGATGCATTGGGAGAGGTTTTGGATTCTGGGATTGAAAGAAATTACTAGAAGTCATATGAACATTGAGAAAAATGAGGAGCTTCTGATTTAGCGGTTATTGACTCCAGAACACTGTTTGGGAACTTAAGATTGCTTTTACCACATAGAACATATTTAGCAATAAATTTACATTTGTGGGGTTTTCCACAAGAGTAGTTGGGGCCTCAACATCATACCAACTCCCATCAATCCCACCATTCTCAAATGACCACTGAAAGCAGTAAGAATTGCTCTGCAATCTTCTGAGTAAAAGATATCAGAAAACTGCAGATAAATGCAATGGCTGATCAAGGGTCCTATTCCCTACCTATGCTAAGATTCTCTCTCACTTGACAATTTCAAAAGCACAATGTGATGTGGGATAGAACTGTAATGTATTGGGCAGAGGCTCAAATACCTGAAGGATTACACTATGACTCATTGTCAAATGTGTTGGGGAATCTGAGCAGTTAGGCTCAAAATAACCCTCAGTTGGGGTGATTCCACCATAAATATAGCAGAGTACCAGAAGTAAACTTCATAACCATCAGCAAAGTAGGCTTCTATTCCATAGAATGACTTAGGATTGCAGAGTCAGAACTTTAGGTTCAAAATATGTATTGAAGTGAAATAAACATACTCTTGATAGAAAAGGTCTTGGAGCTCACTAACTTACTAAATGTTATCTTCTAAATGAGGTCAAAAGTAAAAAGTCAATGTAGCTACATTTTGCCTAGAGAGAGGCAAAATGTGTCCTTACTGAAAGGAAGAAAAGACTGAAAAATGGTGGAGAGGCCATATGGTCAACCCAGGGCAATAAAACTTAAAGAGGAAATTCCCTCACAGAATTCCATTGCTGCATCATCAAAGGGGGAGGAGACAGTAGCTAGCAGGAAGAGTAAAGACAAAGCCCTTTTTGGGGAACATGCATAGGAATGTGGGGGAAGGAATCCCTCAGCCAAGCCCTGTCTCTAGCCTAGCAACTCATTGAGGTCTGGAAACTTGATGACACAAAAAACTTGTGTAGTCCAGGGATGAAACCCAACAATATGCAAGCTAAAATTCACAAGTATAGAGAAATGTAGACATTGTACAGTTGAAGGAGTCAATCTCTTCGTAATAATTTTACTACCATGGTACTTCAGTCTTTTAGAAGCAGCAAGAAGCCTTCTCTTTACACACTCACTCATATGATATCCCTTATATGGATACAATCAGTCAATCTCTCTTCTGTATATTAGCTGGATTAGAAATTGGATTTAAAATGGCATCTACACATCTGAACGACATATGTTAATTTTGTATATTCCCTCCATTGATGTCAACAGAGGATGCACATTCAGCGTACATCCTCGTTTTAGTGCAAATTATTGTACATAAATACTGTTACACCAGGTTACTTTGGATGTCTTCTATACAGGTTTATTTGATTTGTAAGCTTGTGCAAAAATACAAAAGAAAACAATCTTCCTGTTAATGTATAGGAGAGTGATAGGCAACCCCAGCCAGCATGATCAGTTGGGAATAATTGTGAGGACTATAGTAATTCCTTCTTGAAGGTCATGTAAATTGGCTATCGTTACTATAACATGTAGTTCTGAATTTAACAATTCAACTACAACTTGAGAGAATAAATAGTTCAATTTGTCCTGAATCTCCAACTATTCAGCTACAGTAGACTATCTTCATTTATATTCATTTTTGTCACGTATTCATATTTATTACTTACTAGCTTGGGGACCCGGCGTTGCCCGGGTTATTAGAGAAAGTGGGTAATGGCGGTTCTGTATGCCAA